AGACAGCACTAATCTCTATAAGCAGAACACCTAAGCTCCAGGAACTGACCACTCGGTGTGCTGTCCCCGCTGCCCCACCGACCCCCCTCCCAGACCACCCAGTATGCTGTGCCCTACTGCTCTCCCAGGTGACCCAATATGCTGTGCCCTGCTACTCCCCAGACTACCCAATATGCTGTGCCCCGCTATTCCCCAGACCACCCACTCTGTACTGCTGTTTGCCTTGGGAAGGTCTTTGGGTATGATTCATTTTGGATCATTTTGGGGAGACCTCTAGGCTAGCAGAGTGAGCACATGTAGTATACTTAAACAAAATAAAACTTTAATTGCTTTTTAGGGGAAAAAGAGCCCCATTTGTTTGGCTGGGATGTTGGGGGTTGAAAATGAATGTCTCCTCCTCTAACATAGCACATCACTTCTGGAGCAGGGAAACTCCTAGTCCACTTTATGTCTCTCCTCCTCTCCCTCTCCTCCCTCTCCCTTCTCCTGTCTATCTCTTCAGGAATGTGGACACAGTTGCCTGCTAACTGATAGTTTTTAAGATTGTGCTGTTAGGGAAAACCCTGAAGAGAGCGTGGTGGCGATTTGACAGATGGAGCAGGAGATTCAGTGCTGACATCAAGGTGGCCATACATTTCTGTATTCTGCTCTCATCTCCAGCCCTGTAGTGACTATCCCTGGCCTGCCCGAGTCTTCTTCCTCCATGTTAAAACCAGCTCCTAGAACCATGTTGTATGCAAAATAGCTTAAGCACTGCAGTCTTCTGGGTTTTCTTGGAAAGCGCATTGCCGTTTCCATCCAGGTATTTCACTCAAGTCATGGGATGCCATTTAAATGGTGTGGGGTGACTAGGTGGAGCAGGGCAGGGTGGGGTCGTAAAAAGAAAATCTCAATAAAATTACATCGTTGCCCTTCATGGCAGACATCTGTGGGAATGTATGTCCTGTGGCCAGTGGTGGGACTTGACCAGCAGGAACTTACTCTCTCTGGAAATCCTCCAGTGAGCTGACCTGCTGTGATTCTCCAAACTATTGTTCCAGCTAGCTTTTACTACAGACGAGACACTGACATTTGTCTGTGGTTTACTTTTTTAAAGGTGGTAATTAAAAACGTTACGCCCGTAACACCACCATCCAGTTTCTTCAGTTTGAGAAGGGAAGGGCAGTGTTAAAGTTTAGCCTAAGCCAGGCCGTGGTGGCGCACACCTTTAATCCCAGCACTCGGGAGGCAGAGGCAGGCGGATCTCTGTGAGTTCGAGACCAGCCTGGTCTACAAGAGCTAGTTCCAGGACAGCCTCCAAAGCCACAGAGAAACCCTGCCTCGAAAAAAGCAAAGCAAACAAACAAACAAAAAAAGTTCAGCCTCACCTGTTAGCTGCGGCCCCTGCCTGGACCGGAAACTGGGAAGAGTTGGGCTAGGGATATGGCTCTGTTGTCAGGCCCTGGGTTTGGTCCCTAACACTGAGTCAAGCAGGCATGGTGGCTTACACCTGGGATCCCAGAGAAGTAGAAGCAGGAAGGTCAGGAGTTCCGAGTCAGCATTAGTTACGAAGAGTGGGAGGCTAGCCTGGGCTATGGGACCCTGCCTCAAACAAAGGGAGGAAGCTGATTTTAACAACCATTAAGAATTGCATGACTGGGAAGTTTTGTCATTAATTTACTTCCCAAGTGTTCACTGTTTGGTTTTGCTTGCCTAAATATAGGCATGCCTGTGGTATTGGTTGTATATGACCATATTATTTGTTAGATGTGGTATTCCTACTCCCTCAAAGAAACCCAAGCAAACAAGTAGTAGTAAATCAGCTCTTTGGGGAGGTGTGGTCAGAGGTTAATTAGACAGAGGCAAGCTGGTAGCTTACAGCGGTGAGGGTAGTCATTGCAAATACTTCATACATAGTAGCTTTTTATATGTCCAAGGCAGACTGCCCAGAGAAGCAGGAGGGTGCGGATGAGAGAGTCCATGCATATCCACATTCCTCTGCCATAGAGGTTGATCGCATCCTTGCAGCCCTTCAGGGCCAGGATTGCAGTCTTTGGGGTCTGAGATCCTGATTAAAACAACCACTCCCTTTTATAGACCTGGGCTACCTTAGTGGATAACGGGGAACTGAGCCCAGCGCATGACATGGACTGAAGCCTGAGGTCTGGGGCTCCATCCGTCTCATACAACTGGGTTACAACAGCAAGAGCAACCAAATTTCAAGCCAGCAGGCCACTGGGAACCCTTACATAATTGTAGAAGGCTTGGGTTTCCTGTGGCTCAAGTTTTCTTGCCTCTGTCATGATCAAACGATCTGGAGAAAGGCATAGAATTTCAGAGGAGAATCTGCAGGGTGGCACACAATGAGTCCATTCTCTCCTGGCTCATACAAGCCCTGCGTCGGTCTTCACCTCTGGCTTGACTACAAGGCTCCATTTAAACTGAACCCGCCTCGAAGACTTAACTGATCCAGGAGTGACTCAATAGGGCCAGCCAGCTACTGTAGCTCCTTTTCCCGTTTTGATAAGAGGACGGAACACAATGGGCTTTACAGTTCTTAAATGACTCCATTCTTTCCTTCTGTGTATGAGATGTGATGCTTATATGATTTTTCCTTCTTAATAAAATTTCATGTGGCCTGATTATACTTTTAAATAAACAAACACAGTGTGGACCCCTTCCCGTTTGAATAAAATTTTAAAAAATTAAAATTTTATTTTATGTGTATGGGCATTTTGCCTGTGTGCCTATCTGTACCATGTGTGTGCCTGGTGCCCACAGAAGAGAGCATTGGATGCCCCAGAATTAGAGTTACAGGTGGTTGTGAGCCACCCTGTGGGTGCTGGGAACTGAACCCAGGTCCTCTGCAAGGTCAACAAATGCTGTTAATCTCTGAGCCACCTCTCCAGCCCCTGGCTTATCTATTTTTATTTGTTATATATTCTTTTGAGATATAGTGTAGCACTGCCCGGTATCAAACTGTGCAGCAGAAGGTGGCCTTGACCTTCTTGATCCTCCTGCCTCCCCTTCCCAAATGCTGGAATTATCGGCTGGCTGACAGTTTTTATTTGTGAGGAGTAATTCTGATCTCACTTAGACACTGAGATTTACAGTTGGGCCCTTGAATTTCTTTTCATTACCTTAAATGTTACATAAATATAATGTTCCAGTGAAACTGGCTAGGTGATTAGAGTCATTGAAGTGACCAAAGTGCCAGAGTGATTGTGTTGATTTTCAAGAGTCACTAGGACAGTGGCTCTCAACCTGTGGCTCAAGACTCATAAAGTGTTGTATATCAGATATCCTTTGTATTAGATATTTACATTACAGTCCATAACAGTTCTGAAGTAGCAACGAAATGATTTTATGGTTTGGGGTCACCACTATATGGGGAACTAACTGTTTTAAAGGGTCACAGCATTAGGAAGGCTGAGAAGCATGAGATCCAGATCCAGAAGAAGGAGATGGGGGATCCTGACACTGGTAGAATACCAAGTGTGGGCGTAGCCACTCTTTAAGTGGTGACGATGCACTTTGGATCTGAACTTCAGAATGGTAATGCTGAGCTTAAGGAATTGCTGGGATGTTTGTGAAAAAGCAGGTACCTCTGTCCTACCTGCATTAGGTCTGGATGGGGGCTTGGGGTTTTGTGGTTAAGGAACACCTAGTTGATTCTAATCCTTGGCTTTGGGGCCATTGTGGAAAGAAAGTGAATGTCACAAAGGTTATGTTGGAGGTCTCCTGACTCCCAGGCTAAGAGTGACCCTCTTTGTGACCCCCTCAGGTGCAGGAGGGTACTTCCTCAGGCTTCAATTCCATCCATGGCAAGGTGTCCACCTCAACTCCAAGTTCCCAGGAACACCCCTTACCTGTGGCCAGCCTGGGGTGTTTGAGATTGCCATCTCAGCCCCACCTAGCCCTGTAATTAGAATCTCAGAGTGGTTGTTATCAGCGTAATTAATCCAAATTCACTCCCCTATCTTTTCTATCCGGTTGCCCACCCCATTTAGTACTTTGTTAAAAAAACAAAGGTCTTTTTCAAAAGAACTCCCAATTAGAAAAGGGTCCTGGAGTGCCTCTGGGAGTTACAGGTGCAATGTGTTCCTTCATTGTAGGAGGATGAGATTTTCCCTTGAAGACCCTGGATGGGAAGGTTGGGGCAGATAGGGAAAGTATATGGTGGGGAAAGGTACTCAGGTTATTGGGGTTTGCTGGAGGGCTCCTGTGAGCTCTGTTGTAGGATCCATCTCCCTGACGGGCTTTCTCATCATGAGAATTTTCAGTTGGCAGGCTCCCCGAAGGCCTGGTTCTTAGAAATGGAAGCAGAGTTGCCTTCAGATGCTAAGCAAGTGCCTTCTCACAGTGCTGACCCCCAGCACAGGCCTCTGAAAAGGTTCAGACCTGTCTAAAACCAGTAGTGGAGTCCCTGCATCATTGGTCCCTGCTAGGAGTGTTCCCATCGTCTCAGTTAAACTCCTGGTGTGCTCTGTGTGGGAGATTGGGTGATATTTTCTTACCTCTGGCAAGGTCTATAGCTGAGGTTCCATTAGTAAAATAGAACCAACAAGACCAATAAGAACACACACATTGGTTTAATAAAGTTTTATGTGGCACAGGACTATTCAGAAGGGAGGACCCAAGAAACCCCATGGTTTTACAGCTGGTAAGATGAATAGAGGTATTCTCACCTAAGGAGTGAGCAAGGCCTTCTGGGTAGGTTTGTTCTGTCTGTCTCCCTTTCCCTTTCCTTTGTATGTCTCAGACTACCTCCTGCAGAGGGTCTTGTGATCTGCTTCTAGGAAAGGCAGAAAACTGTTTTCTAGCCTTCTGCAGGAGGGGGAAGGCCAGGGAAAAAAAAAGCCAGTAAAACTTCCTGCCTCAACTGTTTTCAAGGTGCCCAGTGCTGGGGTTATGGGTCCCCAGATCCATTGTTTCCACATTCATTCATTTTAGGGACAAAAGCAAACACAGCCTGACTGTTGTCTTGATTATAAGTAGTCATCCAAGTGTGTCCCTTTCAGGAATGTGTTCCAGAGAACCTGGAACTGAAGAAGAAGATTTTTGCCCAGCTGGATCGTATCGTGGATGACAGAGTCATCTTAAGCAGCTCCAGCTCTTGTCTGCTGCCTTCCAAGCTGTTTACCGGCTTGGCACACGTGAAGCAGTGTGTAGTGGCTCATCCTGTGAGTACATTGTTTTGTCTTTGATGCTGTTGGGATCAAACCCAGGTCCTCTCGCATGTTAGTCAAGTACCAAGGTCCACTCCAGCCCCTGGTAGTGTGGTAAACCTGGGGACTTGATTGTACCTCTTATTCTTTTTTTTCAGGGGCAGTAAGTTGCAATGGATCTGCAAGTATCTTGAACTGCTTTATTGAGGTGCCATCCACATACCACACAATCTGTTGGCCAACATTATACAGTTTGGTGGTTTTGCATACATTTGTGATTGTGCAATATCATCATTTAAACAAAAATATGATCCAGAAGTCTTTGGAATTTTATCTGTGCATCTAAGGTGTCATGGCATAAAACAAGCAGTAATTAATGCTTTACCCCTCAGGGCATTCATCATGTGGAATAAGCTGCTAAATTAGCAGTTCCATTATCAAAGTAAAGTGCTGCATTAAAGATGTCCATGCAGGATGGGGGGCTGGCTGAGTGGATAAAGTGTGTGTGCTGTGCAAGCATGGGGGCCTGGGTTTGAATCCCGAGAACCCATGTAAACTGAGAATAGGAGTGTGTGCATCTGTAATCTCAGAACTTCTACAGGGAGATGGGAAATAGAGACAGGAGAATGATGGAACATTTAGGGTCAGCTAGCCCTGTGTATGCAGCTGCAAGCAACACCTTGTCTCAAACAAGCTAGAAGGTCAGGTCTGATAACTAGAGGTTGTCGTGACTGAAGAATGTGGCCATAGCACAAGTGGATCCACACACACAGAGAACATGTGGACACACACACATACACACACACACACACACACACACACACACGATTTTAAAATGTGCATGCCATGCAGGAGTTTAGATATGACACTTGCCTTGTGTCATTTACTGAAGGTCATTCACAGTAGGATCAGAGCTGTTAAAATGCAGCTTCTGGGTGTCACAGCCAAAATTTTGATCCAGGACGACTGAGTTGAAGCCCTCTTTCCCTGCTGCTCCCCTATCCCCATCCACTGTAATCAGCTAAGCACATTTCCTCACCAGGAACACCTTGTGTGGTCCGCTGGGCCACAGGCTCCAATTAGCAGGCAAGGAAGGGCTCAGTGAGTCTTTCTGAGGTTAACATGTCATTGTGAGGGCAGGAACAAGCACAGGGTTTATAGATCACTGGGTGAATGATGTTGGAGCCCTGACCATGAACTTAGTACAGCCATGGAGAACCAGGACAGCCTGTTTGGGTGGGAAAGCTACCTTAGTTCCAGCCATGATAAATATGATGGCATACTGTGTCATTAACAGCCAAAAGCTACACAGAGGAGCAGGGCCAGCCTGGCTGGGTTGATGGGAACTTCTGGAAGCTGAGGAATTGCATAAGCAAAGGCCGCAGGGCAGGAGCAAGAGGGAGTAATTGGGGTGGGGTCATGATGGCATCACTGGGAGAGCCCACACACTGAGGGTGGGGGCTAGCAGGAGGTTGGAAGATTAGAGAATACAGATGTGGTACCTGTGTTAGTCGCTTTTCTTGTGGATATGGCCAAATGTCTGACAGGAAGTAAGTTAAGAGAGGGGACATTTACTTTAGCTCTTAGTTTGAGGGGTATCAAAGCAGAGAAAGCTTGATGGAGAGAAGCAAAGAAAAGGGGGGGGGGCAGGGTCACTAGTAAACCTTAAGGCCCGTCACACAGTGGCCTTTTCTCACTTTCTCAAGTGAGAAAAGCTAGCTAAAGGTTCCACAACCTTCCAGAACAACACTAGCAGCTGGGAACAAAGTGTCCAAACACATGAGCGCGCGCGTGTGTGTGTGTGTGTGTGTGTGTGTGTGTGTGTGTGTGTGTGTGTGTGTGTACAACCTTTTTTTAAAATGAAGGTTATTTTTAGTTTATATGTTTGGGTGATTTGCCTGCAGCTATGTCTGTGTACCACCTGTATACCTCATGTGTGCAGAGGCCGGAAGAAGACATCAGATCCCCCAGAACTGGACTTACAGACAGCTGTGAGCTACCATGTGGGTGCTGGGAATAGGACCTGAGTCCTTTGGAAGAGTATAGAGTGCTCTTAACTGCTGAGCCATCTATCTAGCTCCACAGAGCATCTCATATCCAAACCATAACAGTATCCTTTAATCACAATACTTGGGACTAAGAGTATTTTAGAATTTGAATTTTGGAATGCTTAAATAGTCTTTACCAAATAAACATTCTTAATGCAAAAAGACCCAAATCTGAAAAGCTCTGAAATTTAGATTTTTTTTAAAGCAGTGTCAGAGCTTGAAACATTTCAGATACCCAGAACCTTTGGGGGTGGGTGGCCCCACCAGCAGTGTTCTAGAGGCTCATGAGTGTTACTTTGAAGTACTGTTTGAGTCTAGGTACAGAGCAGCAGCACAAAGCCTTGGAATGTTGCTTTGGGAGGGTAATGGCCTCCTACAGTCCAGACTCACCACACAGTGCACAGGTCATATCTGAAGCCTGAGGAGCCAGGACTGGAATGGGGAGCGTGGGAAGTCTTCTTCCAAAGAAGACCAGCTAAGAAGAGATGCCAGACTGGTTAGGGTGAAGAAAAGGGGTGAGCTACTGGACACCCACTAGATACTCAATGTCAAGACTCAGGCAACCCAGACTCCAAGTTTTGCCATATTGGGAAATACATGGAAAGAATGATGAATGATCATCAGAGTTATTGCCATAGAACCAAAAGAACATAGAATAGAAATAGCTATATTCAGTTACAAAATGTGCAAGTGACATTAGCGGCAAGAGGATGGTAACTGAAAGCACCCAGCCATCAAGGCCATGAAGCTGTCTTTTCTCCTGTGATAGATAGATGCCACTCTGAAAACAGCCACTGACTACTACAGTGGAAAGCACTTGCTTGTAAGAAAGCCACCAGTTTCTAATCAGTTGTTTTGCATATAAGTTGGTCCAGAAAAGAACACTACTTAAATCAAAGACTTCAGAAATCACCTGTATGTTCTCCAAAAGACTTTTCCATCTTGTGGAAAGACAAATGGCATAAGGCAAGTCTAGTTGGTAAATGGCTTTCCTATTGTACATGAGCCCTGGATTCGATCTCTAGCAATGTATGAAGGTGGGTGGGGTGGCAAATGCCTGTAACCCCAGCTTGCAGGAGCTGGAGGGCCTCAGCAGCATGGTGTGTTTGAGGCCTGCCAGGATTCATGAGACCTTCACGCAAATGTCACCAGTGCACAGTCCCCATATAAATATATGCAGAAGACACAATGGTCTTTAGACACAGGACCTGGAGAACAGAAGTTGGGTCTGACCTGAAAGCCTCCTTTCGGATGGCTAGATTTCATGGTATAGAAGATGTCACACAAGCCTCTAAAGGAGGGAAGCAATCAACAGTCCTACCCAGCTATGATGCCTATGAACTGCAATGATGACCAGCATGGCACAAAAGTTCTAAGGGTGCAGTAGTGACACTCATACCTTGGCAGTAACCAACAGCTGTCTAATTGGACTTGAGACATGCTCAATGATCATGCCTGGTACTGGAGACTTAACCATCTACTCAGGGCTAGTGAAGTCATGGATCTTTGAGGAAAATATACTACCATTACTTTACTAAACAGCATGTATAATTAATTCCTAACTACACTCTAAATATTTACCCTTATACCCACCAGTAAGTATAGTTTTCACCCCTCATCAGACTTCTCTTTGCAACAGAGACTATTACAGAAAACCATAGCCAATCAAAATGCAGAGAACATGAGATCATGTGAAGCCTAGTCCCAATGAGTACATCTGTGGCACAACCTCTGCACCTAAGGCTCTGGGGTCATCGTAGAAGAAGGGGAGTCAGAGAAGCAGGAAGTCTGCTATGACATTGTATTTCTTAGAAATGTCTGAGAAGCTACACCCATTAAGTCTTACAAGACCTAAACATGACCTGAACAAGGATGACACCCATAGACATACTAACATGGAAGGGGGGAAATCTCATGGGACCTCAGCTGTAGACAAAGAGCTACAGGCAACTAAGGAATGCCGAGAGAGAGACATGGTCTTCCCCCAAGGCAGTGGCCCCCAGTTGGTTATCCAATACTAGGTGGTCAGCACTGAAATAACAATATACATACAAATAACATATGGACTGAGGATGTTGAATTTAGGAATATATGTAAAACAACAAAGAAAATGAGGCTATGAATTTGAAAGTACAAACTGATCTACTTAGTGGTAAAGCAATACCCAGATGTAAAAGGCCCCCCTAAGTCTTAGTCATAGTAGGACCCAAGAAGAGTGTACACACACACACACACACACACACACACACACACACACACACACACACACACACAATCTTTTATTGCTTTTATGAGTTTTTTTTTTTTCCCAAACCGATGTTAACTAAAGCAAATCAGTTCACCAAAGTTAACCATCTTTGGATTCTGTCATTCTGTCTTATCCAGGGGAGTAGGCAGACTTGAATCATATGGATCATTTTTTGTTGTTGTTGTTTTTTTGAGGGTTTCTCTGTGTAGCTTTGGAGCCTATCCTGGCACTTGCTCTGGAGACCAGGCTGGCCTCAAACTCACAGAGATCCACCTGTCTCTGCCTCCTGAGTGCTGGGATTAAAGGTGTGTGCCACCAATGCCTGGCCATATGGACCATCTTAAATGTTTAAGAGTCATTCCTAGTCTGAGAATCTACATTTTCTCCCAGTCCCACACGCCAGACCAAACTGGCTGAGCTCATGTCCTTAGCTCTATAGTCTCCTGGGATCTTTGTCTGGACAGGAAATCAGATGTCAGGAAGGAGGCCTGGTCATGCCCCTGCAGGGCCCTGGCACACTGGATATTTACCATTGTAATAGGTTGTGGCCTCCACCTCCACACAGAGAAGCTCCAGCCGGCAAGTTAGGACAGCCCTGTGTTCTCTCAGGCACAGATTTTGCAGGGGCAGGGCAGAATTTCTGGTCATCTCTGTTCCAGGGTAAGCAGAAGGTACTGAGCAGTGGGTGTGTGCTGTCAGCACTGAGGGCCTTGTGGGCTTCAGGATGGGCTTCCTGGACTGCCCCTTCGGAGGCTGTGGAAATCTGCTACATGAAGCCCCAAGAGAGGAAAGGGTGTTCATGTACCCACCTACCCTGTTATGGTCTTTTCTTTCCTCAGATGTGTTTTATATCAACTTTACTTCATGAATGGAGGAAGCCAGGGTTGGTATGTGTAGGGGGGTGGCTTTAGAGAGACTGGCATAGGGGGCACAGATGCAGTCTCTCTGTTTCCACCACACAGTGTCAGCTGTCCATCAAAGTTACAGAGGATTGTACTTATTTTGGCCTCACTTTTAAAAACTTACCTTTCACCAGGCATTGGTAGCACATGCCTTTGATCCCAGCACTCGGGAGGCAGAGGCAGGTGGATCTCTGTGAGTTCGAGGCCAGCCTGGTCTCCAGAGCGAGTGCCAGGATAGGTTCCAAAGCTGCACAGAGAAACCCTGTCTCAAAAAAACCAAAACAAAACAAAACAAAAAAAAAACAACTTTCCTTTCATCTTCCTTCCTGATCTGTTATGGGATCAAGGTATCTGGTGGAGCTAATGGGGCCTCTCAGTGCTCTGTTCTGTAGGTCAGGTTGCTTAGAAGGAGGCCACAGACTCTGGAATGGACCCAGGTCCCTGGTCAGCTGCAGGGCATCTCTTCCTGGAATTGGAGAGGGCCTGTTTTTTTTTTTTTTTTGTAAAAATGTCTCCTGTCACTGCTACCATGCTTCCTCCTATATGTTAGGCAAGGGTTGTACCATTGAGCTCCACCTCTGACCCTCTTATTTTCAGTGTCTTGCCATGTAGTCCAAGTCAAACTCAGGACTCTCCTGCCTTAGCCTCTTGGAAGCTTGGAGGAAAGGCAAGCTCCCTATACCTTTTCTGTGGTGGTACCTTCTGGTTGGACACCAAGTTAATCCCATTGTATTACACCCTTGGCTGAGGGAGGGAGTCCTGTTCTCACACCTGCTTCTAGGCACCCTGGCACCTGGCTGTAGGAGAGCTGGGTACAGAACATGTTTAGATTGGGGTCTTCAGCTCACTTCCCAGGAAGCTTGAGAGGAGTAGTCCCTATGGCCTCTGGGTGGATGACTGTCCGCAGTGTCTGGAGACCCTGCCTTGGTTAGACCCATGAGAATACCACTCTGGGTAAGCTTAGAAGTGGTACACTGTCTGAAGTCAGCTACCTCTGTTGAGGGACATTTTGCTCTACCCTTTCCTCTGTTCACTGTATGGTCCAAGGCACTATCGCTGCTCGTCTCTGACTCCAAACAGGGATTGATTTCATTGCTAGAGGCCAAGTACTCTGGGTGGAGTGATACCATCCTACCTGGAGCCTCCTGGAGGGACAGGAGAGTGATCAGGTTCCATCTCAGGAGGGCTGAAGGGTCCAATGTTTGATAGCTGTACCCCTCCTCCCCCAGACTGGGTCTCTCTATGTAGCCCTAGCTGGCCTGGGACTCTATGTAGACAAGGCTGGCCTCAAAATCACAGAAGCCTAGCTATTTCTGCCTCATGAGTGCTAGGTGCTGGGATTAAAGGCATGAACCACCATGCCTCAGCTGCACAGCTTTTAAACCAGGGGGATCATGCCAGAGTTTGGAGCTGGAGGTGGGAGAACACTGTTTTAATTTCTTTTTCTTTTCTTTCTTTCTTTTTCTTCTTTTTTTTTTTTTTTACTTTTAATTGTGGTAACCACACAATAAAATTGACAACTTGTAACCATCCTAAGGGGGCGGGTCAGAGGCATTAAATACAAGAATACCTTTCTGTTTTACTGACTATCCATCTTGAAAACCTTCCATTCTTGAAGGAAGCTTACCCCTTAAATATCAGTTCCCTCTCCTGTCCCCACCACTGCACCCTACAATGTATAAACACAACAGAATGTCTCCATGTCAAGAGATGCATGCTTGTTTTTATCACTTGTGGCATCCACAATGCTGCAAAGACCTGGAGCCCAGTTTCTCCAATCTTCACTGAAGCACAGTTCACCTGTAGCCCAGGCTGGTTTAGAACTCACTATCCAGATGAAGCTAGTGTCTACCCGTCCTCTGATGCCGACTCCCAGGCTTTGGGTTTACAAACCATCACAGCTAGCTGTCCTGCTCATGTTCTTAACATGGGCAGAGAATGGTCAAGCCTGAGGAGTCTAGGATGGGAAGGTGGCTCTGGGCAGTGGGGACGGGTAAACTATGTCAATTACTAGCGTAGAACCCTTGTCCTGGGAGGCAGAAGGGCTTGGGGTTCTCCACAAATGTATGCAGGATAGCAAAGTATACCTCATGTGCTCATTTCAAAAACAAAACCATACAATTCTATAAGCACTTATCCCCCCCACCCCATGCCCCATGCATGCATCTCTTTCTCAAGTCTTATCTTGGGATGTGGAAGCCAGGGGCCTTTCCAAAGTTGCTCCTACCCCCCACTTGCCACTGGACATAGGCGAGGGGCAGTGGGCCAGAGTAACACCCCACTGTCAGCATGCTCTTGATCCTCTTATTCTTCTCTCCCTCTCATAAGGTCAATCCACCATATTATGTCCCACTGGTTGAGCTAGTCCCTCACCCAGAGACAGCTCCAGCCACAATGGACAGAACCTATGCCTTGATGAAGAGGATTGGGCAGTCCCCGGTGAGACTCCTGAAGGAGATCGATGGCTTCGTTCTGAACCGCCTGCAGTATGCCGTCATCAGCGAGGCCTGGAGAATGATGGAGGTTCGTGCCCTGTGTCCCTCTTTACTCCTGTTCTCCTGGCCTCCACCCCACCCTTCTCCTTCTTCCCTGTGTCCCTTCTTCCATTCTTCCCTCCCTCCCGCCCTCCCTTTCCTTTTCTTCCCTTCTTTCCTCCCTTGCCTCCATGGTTGAGTAGGAAAGGAGTTACTTTCTGGGTCTGTCAAAGTTAGAGGACACTCAGGGCTCCTTGCTGTCTTCTGGAGACCCAGGGCCTTCCATTTGGAAACAGAGTACAACACAGCAGTTCCCTGTCTGAGAGATCCCTCTCTCTAAGTCATTATTTGATAGCAAGACACAATTGAAAACCTTCCCTGCCCTTTTTACAAAATTACCTGTGTGTTACATTTTCCCATTTTGCAATTTGTCTTCCCATTGCATTTTCCCACAGACAGATTTTTGCCTCCTGGTGTCAAAATGTTTCAGCATGAGAAAGTATTCTTTTCGTACAATGTAAACTCGTACTCCCTTAAAGAACACAGCTTATGTTAAGAACCGAGGAAAGCCATGATACATACTAAACTTATTGGTAACAGGCTTGTCTTCTTCGTGGATCAAACATACAGCAGGCACATCCATGCAGGCCATAGTAAAGTGTGGTGTGTGAGGGATTACCTGCTTCTCAGGGGAGGACGGAGCTTGCCTAGCACCACCCATGCCGGGTGCAGCACCACAGCTCTTCACAGAGTGCACAGGACAGGAACCTGGAAGCCAGCTGTACCTCATTTTTTTGTGGGTGTTATATTTCCTTCCAGTATTTCCGCCAGACTTCAACAGGTGTGCATGATGTATGTGACTCTCCCTGTTAGAGTCACCATGTGACACCACTTAGCTGTGCAGTAGGTGCTCCCCGTGCTGTGACTCAGTGTTTAAATGGGCCTCCCATCTACACCTGCAACGTGTGTGCTGGGATCTCACACTCCTTGAAAAATGCTTTAGAAATCAATCAGTGTCAGGATTATCTTAAAGGAATCCTGCATTTAAAATACCTTCTTTGAGGTCTATTTAAAACAGAACAGCAATAGTAGATAGACTCAAGAAAAATTTAGCACTATAGTACAACACGGTAAGAAGTGGTGCTGTAACAATTTTAACTTTTTATCTGTTAGATTTTTAGTTTTTTAGGGTTTTTTGTTTTGTTTTTCAATACAGGGTTTCTCTGTGTAGCCCTAGCTGTCTAAGAACTAGCTGTGTAGATCCCGCTGGTCTCAAACTCACAGAGATCCACCTGCCTCTGCTTCCCAAGTGCTGGGATTAAAGGTGTGCGCCAACGCCCGGCCAATTTTTAATTTTTATTTCTTAATTCAGAGTAAAGAATTGATTTAAGAGTAAGTCTTGCTTAGTTTACCCTGAAAGTTATGAACCAACTTCGGGAAGAACGAAGAGACCTGTGTAGGACAAAAATTGTCTGTGTTTGACCACTCAGCAGAACTGATCATACATTGGAAGATCTGAGCAGCATTGGTGTCTTTTTGTGCTGTTGGAGAAAAGCAAACTGGAGGGGATGCTGAGTTCACTGCCTTGCAGACTCCCACTGGCTTGTGCTGCCTGCCTTTTTCTTTCTTTCTTTCTTTCTTTCTTTTTTTTTTTTTTTAGGAAAAGACATGGGAAGGTTAGGGAAGTGTGAGTAGAACCCAAAGTCTTACCTTTCACGTGATTCTAGAAGATAATCTGCGCTCAAGTGCAAAGGTGATCTGGAGACTTTTAGGACTAAACTGCTGGTGTGTCTCCAGTCTGTAGGGGATCTGGGCTCTACATGTGCACAGGGAGGCAGAAGGGATGCAGAGAGCATGGGGCAGAATCCAGGAGTGTGCTTCCTTTTACCATATCAACTTTGCAGCCACTCTTTAACTCTTCTCCCAGGACCTTGAGCAGGGCACCCAGGATACTGGCTCTCTGCTGAATCAGTTGCTGGCATGGGCTTCTGTGTCTGCATGGACCCCTTCCTTTCCACAGTTTCCAAAGCTGAGTGATAGGCTGTGGTTCATCTTGAGGTGGCTTTAGAGAAATCCTTCCCACAGTAACTGTCAGCGGCAGGACCTGTCTCCCTTAAAAGTGTCTGATGCTGTACCTGCTGGGGGTTGGCTTAAGGACACCTGACTACTGTATATGTTTTTATGGGAAGGTTCATGCTGCCTGTGGCCTGGTTTCTTTCCAGCATTTGCAATCAGCAAAGGTTGGAGAAAACCTCTCCAGAGCCCTGCCCTCCTGCTGCCAATCTGCCTGCTGCGCTCTCCGCCTCTGTCCAGGCAGGAGTTAAATGACTCCTCACAACTTCAAATAGAGCCTGTTGAATTTGAGTTCACATTTTGGAGTGTTTCAACCTGGATTTGGGTTTTCCAAGTTTGCTTCAAAACTCTAGGGTGACTTCATTATCAAAAGGAGCAGAATCAAAGCTAGTCACAGGCCTTGTGAAGACTCTCCCTTCCTTGTCTCCCCTCCCCCTTTCTTCGCTTCCCTTCTTCTATGTGCCCACTTTCTCTCATTGGCTTTTGGAGACAAGGTCATTTTAAGAAGGCCAGACTTGTTCGAAACTCACCATACAGCCTGTGTGAGCCTCGAACTACTTAATCCTCCTTTATGGGCAGGCACCAAAGGGGCCAGCTCAGAGCTACTCCTTGCACATAAAGCCTGGGCTGGGTTCTACATGTGGCTGGAATGGCCAACCCTCAGCCTGGACTGAGAACAGAATGAGCTTCCATATGTGGTGTGGCTTCCCCACCTCTCCAGTTCCCAGGGGTGCTCTGTCTCCTTGTTCTCTGGATTCACAAAGCAAGCTGACAGTGAGAAAGGCTCTTTTTACTCCACGCAAGTCTGGTGCATTTGTTGGTGGAGCTTGGTTCCAGAAAAGCCTAGGAAACTTTGTCCAGACACCTGGTGCTAATTATGTTACCTGTTACCCGAACAGATCAAAGCCATGTGTGAATGTCCGTGCCCTGACTCTATGTTAGGGGCTAGGATGGGGTAGGGCAGGCAGTGGGTCTGGATGGAGCCCAGACTGTTTCCACCAGCATGGCAGAGTTTTGATGTGGGAAGAGCATTCAGGGAAGTTGCCTTGGTGCTCACTTGCTGTGATTCTGAGAGTTACATTGACTTTCTTGGTATGGAGCCAGCCCTGTCTGGAATAACTGTCACTTGCTCATGGATTTTCTTTATATATCTAACTTAAAAGTTTTGCTTTTGATTGATAAGTCATTGGGTTATCTATGGAATGCACAGTGGTGTTTGACTCTATTCTGTCCTCCATATTTGCACATGAGGTACACCATTTACTTTAGACATTGCCAAGTTGCACTTGCTTATTTTTGCATCTGGATTCATGGGCAATATTTTCTGGTAGTTCATATGCTATACTCTGTGACTTTGACTTCAGGGTAGTTCTTTGTAAAGTGAATTGTGAAAGGGTCTTCCTGAAAGAGATTATACAGCTTTCTTAATTCTCCTTAACCTTAAATTTAAATTTCTTAATGTCTCCTTAAGTATTTGGTCGATCTATAGTAGAATTATTTGAGACTCGAGAAATCTTTTTTAGGAACCTTTACATCACAAATCCAGTTTCTTTAATTGTAGAATTTTGGTCTGTTTTCCTCTTGTCTGAGTTTGGATTGTTTATGGTTGCTCAGAAATGGGTTCATTTATTCCAAGGTATTAAGATTTGTAAGTGTAAAGTTGTTGGTAATAATACTTTTATCCATGTTATGGCTTCAGAGTCTATGGTGATGTTGCTGGTTTTATTTCTGAAATTCATGTTTTATGTCTGCTTTTTCCCCATTGCATTTGGTTAGGGGTTTGTCAATTGTATTTATTTGCAAATTTTATTTTGAGAAGCCAGACTGTGTTACTCAGCTTTCCATTACTGTGTAACAAAATACCTGAGATAAGTAGCTTTAAAAGGACAAACATTTATTTTGGCTTACAGTATGGAGGGCTTAGTCCATGACTGGCTGGTGCTGTTGCAAGATATTGGCATGTGGAAGAGGAAGCCTGTTTATGTCCTGGCGACCAGACTGAAAAAAGAAAAAGAGGAAGAGGAAAGACCAGGCTCCTACACCCCTTTAGAACACATTTCCCATGACTCAAGGACCCCCCACGAGGCCAGTAGTCCTTTCTCAACCTGTGTGTTGTGACCCCCTAAGACCATCAGAAAATACTGATGTTTATATTATGATTTATAACATCAGCAAAATTACAGTTATGAGGTAGCAATGGAAATAATTTTATAGTTGTGGGGTCACCACAACCTGAGGAACTGTATTAAAGGGTCACAGCATTAGGAAGGTTGAGAACCACTGCTCTAGGCTCTGCTACCTCCCAGTAGTGTCAAGCTAGAGACTAAAGCTTTACTACATTGGCCTTTGGGGGGGGGTATTTAATGTCTAAACAGAACTTTTTTTTTCATTGATTAGTATCTGTTTTTCCTGTTTTAAATTCCAGACACTAGTTATGGAAAGCATAATTGAATTCTTATAGCTAAGCAACCAAGATTAATTCTAAGACAAGCAAAGGAGGAGTGACTCCCCCGTGGACATGTCCACCAGCAAGTGCTTGTGGAGGGTACCGCGTGTGTCAGGTGATTGTGGAGGGTACCGTGTGTGTCAGGTGCTTGTGAAGGGTACCGTGTGTGTCAGCTGATTGTGAAGGGTACCGTGCTATGGGCATTTCTAGGTGAGAAAGAGGAAGTGCAGTAGTGAGAGGAATGTTATTATCCTGTCTTTGCATAGCCTCACTGTAACTTTCTGTTTGCTGCTGTCCTGACACCTTCTGAAGAAGAATTGTACTCAATTGTACTACTGGGGTCTGTTGTATTGTCTCATAGATGTTAGTCCTGTTTTGTCCTCTCTTCTAGTTTGGCTTCATATCTGGGGTACAGAAGACCTTCATGAACAGGTGAATTCTGGGTATACAGGTCTGACTGCAGTCTAGAAACACATTTTCCTGCCAGGGCTGGGTCACTGGGTGATGAGATCCTTTTGACTGGGAATGTA